TATGAGATTTTTAGTCTTACGTTTATCATAATATTGATTCACTTAATCTGTCAAATCTTCCACCCTTCAAACGTTCATACAATCAAACCTTCAAACCTTCAAACAATCAAACATACAAACCTTCAAATAACTCATAAACTTCAAACATTCCAACCTTCAAACCTTACAACCTTTAAACCTTCAAACAATCAATAAACTTCAAACATTCCAACCTTCGAATAACTCATAAACTTCAAACATTCCAACCTTCAAACCTTCAAACAACCCTACGCAATGGCCTCTGCACCACAATATGTCGTCAAAGCACACTTCAACGGTGAGCCATACATTTGTCCCACCGCTGGGTTTTTTTTTAGAGACAGAGACAACATCTGATTTCTCTTAAACGGGAAAGCCAATTTCTCGTGCTTCAAAAAACGATTGGAGGCCAAACTTGGACAAGGCCCGGTGACACAGATATTTTATCAGAATCTAGTTTTTTTGGAAACAACCAAATAATTTTTTATAAGGTTGAAGTTCAAGATGACGAGGATCTCTATAATATGTTTTCCAGCCATGTGTATTCTGGGTACGACTCTATTGAGTTGTACATTATGCTGCGAGAGCCTCAGGTGACACAAGTGGTTGATCCTTTGGAGAATGAACAAGCTGAGGTAGATGCAGTTGATGAAGAAGAAGAAGATGACGAGTTAGAGTTTGATGAAATGGTGAATAATGATTCCGACGATGATGGCATACCTAGTATTCCTACAAACGAGATCTACACACCACCTCAGCACATGACAAACTTCAACATGGGCGGAGATGAACCGTCTACTGACTTATTTTTCAATCCGTATATGCAGTCGAATGAAAATTTAAAAGAGAAGGACAAGTTTCGTAATAGAGAGGAATGCATCAGAGCCATAAAAAAATTCCACATGCTCAACTCGGTTGATTTTAAGGTGGACCGTGTCAACCCAAAAAGGTACAAGATCAAGTGTGTCCACCCTGACTGTATGTTCAAGTTGACTGCATCATACATATTAAGAGGTGACTGCTGGGTCATAGGTTCCATGACTACCCACACTTGTGTAAGTTCTACCCAATCACAGGACCACCGGAAACTTAATTACGATCTCATATGTCAAGAAATCCTACCACTGGTCAGCAACGACCCATCTTTGAAGGTGAAAACAATCATCTCTCACATCACCATGGTTTTTAACTATACTCCGTCTTATCGTAAGGCGTGGTTAGCAAAGACTAAGGCGATTGAAAAGGTGTACGGAAACTGGGAGGAGTCATACCAAGAACTTCCTCGCTACCTGAATGCACTCAAGACATATTCTTCGGGTACTGTTTATGTTCTGGAAACAGTTCCAGCATACGCCCAAGATGGTAGTCTACTAAACGGCAACAAAATATTCAGTCGAGTGTTTTGGGCATTTCAACCTTGCATCACAGGGTTTGCATCATGCAAACCAATTATACAAATTGATGGGACTTGGTTGTATGGGAAGTACAAAGGCACGCTACTGATGGCAGTTGCACAAGATGGCAACAACAACATTTTCCCCATTGCCTTTGCCCTTGTCGAGGGGGAGACCGGTGGTGCTTAGAGCTTTTTTATGAAAAATCTACAGACACACGTGGCTCCTCAACCAGATCTCTATTTGATCTCGGACAAACATGCCTCCATTGAAAGTGCCTACAATAATCCTGCAAACGGTTGGCATGACCCTTCTTCTACGCATGTCTATTGCGTTAGGCATATCTTCCAGAATTTCACGAGGGAGATCAAGGACAAAACACTAAGGAAAGCGGTTATGAATGCGGGATATGCATTGACACAACCCACATTCAAATATTACTGCAACAAGATCCGTTTGTCAAATTCGGAAGCCGGTAGGTGGATCGATAATATTCTGGTGGGAAAATGGACTAGGTCATACGACAATGGCCAAAGATGGGGGCACATGACAACGAATCTTATTGAATCGATGAGCGGGGTATTCAAAGGCATACGAAACCTCCCGATCACTGCTTTGGTAAAATCTACGTATTTTAGGATGGCTGCGTTATTTGCCAAAAGAGGTGAAATATGGAATGCGATGTTGCAATCTGGACAACTATGGAGTGAAAGCTGCATGAAATACATTAAGGCAGAAAGTGCCAAAGCCAACACTCATATGGTTATACGGTTTGACCGACACAGCCACAACTTCATTGCGAAAGAGACAATCGACCACAACGAAGGCCTGCCAAGACAATAATATAGGGTCATGCTACCTTCTCGCTGGTGCGATTGTGGCAGATTTCAAGCATTTCGTATGCCTTGCTCTCATGTCATTGCCGCTTGTGCTCATACCCATCAAGACGCGCTGCAACTTTTGTCACACATTTACAAATCTGAAACGTTGTTCAACGTTTACAACAACAACTTTCCTTTGGTAGCAAAACCAGATTATTGGCCTGCATACGACGGCGAAATAGTGTGGCACAATGACCAAATACGAAGGAACAAGAAGGGTCGTCCCAAAAGTAAGCGCATCACAACAGAAATGGACGATCTTGACAAGTTGGAAAGAAAGTGTGGTTTATGCCGTCAAGTCGGACACAATCACAAAAATTGTCCGAATCGGGCGTTTGCCTCGACCACATAAAAATTGTAATACATAAAATCTTTCCTTAATTATGTTGTAAACATTAGGGTTTTCCGTTAACAGATTTTGCTACAATAAATATTGCGCGTACAAGAAAAATTAACGATATTCCGTCTACGAAATTACAACTGTTAACACAATTTCATCTGACCCATGCATCATCAACATTACATTGCTGTCTGTTTTGACTTTCTCCAACCATACATTAGGTCTTCCTGTCGCATGTGAGGTTGTTGTTCGTTTTCGCTGGATCCTTCGAATTTTTCCCCCCTCTGCAATGTCTCAATCTAGCCATCGCATCAACTCCCGCTTCAGACGCTCCATGGAGTGAATGTGCCAGAATTTCATTTTCATCGCAGGTTTCGTGGCGGAGAAGATAACGTAACCATCTATGCTAAAAATCATGGGCGAAGTCATGACGCAAATAAAAGAGTAAAAAATAAAAAAACAGTGCGAGAAAGTGTGCGGAATTTCGGAGAAACGGACGAATTATTTATAAAATAGCATTTTGCCCTAGTTTTGCCCTAGGAGCCAAGTGAGATGGCGCCTCCTCTCACTTTTAAGGTGCATGCGCCATCTCACTTGGTTAAAAGTGAAGGGAGGCGCCAAGTGAGATGGCGTCTAGGGCAAAACTAAGGGTGGAGGCGCCAAGTGAGATGGCTCCTCCTTTGGGGAGTCATCTGAAACATGGTTATTTGCGTAATTTATTCCGAAACGCGGTTATTTGCAAAATATTATTTTAATACTTGGTTATTGTAAAAAAATTCTATAAAAAGTTTCAAAAAAAATTCAAAATTTGATTTCTAAGTCAAAATTTTCACTATTTTTATCATTATCTTTTGAAATTAAAAAAAATCATATTTAATTCTTCTCATTTTAAAAAAATTTAAAACTTAATAAAAAAATATTTCATAATATTCTACATATTCATGAAAAAAATTATTCAAAAATTTAAAAATTTAAGAATATTAAAAAAAAATTCAAAATTTTAGACGATAATAAAGACTAAAACTGCTTACATAAAAATATTATAGGAACTAAAATATATTATTTTTTTAATAGGAATTGAAAATAAAATTTAAAAAGTTTATAAGAAAAAAATATATTTAATCCATAATAAAATAATCTATATTTAATCATTAAATAATTTATGTGATATGTTAAAATTTTTTTTTTTTTTTTGAGATGGAGAGCCTAAATCTAAAAAGAAAGAACTATACACAACTACTACTTTAGAGTAGAAATTCCTACTCCAATCAGTCTCAAAATTCCTCAAAAGTCAACTAGGGGTCTCCTAGAAAACTTGCAGCCACCCTTCAAATCCTTCTCATGCTTTGCAAGGAGAATATCACAATCATTTGCCTTCCCTATAAATGTACACAATCTCCACAATTTCCATCTTTCCCATTGATTATACAAATCATCAAATTACATTTACCAAGCTCCTTCTTATAAACTTGGTTTATATGTATATATATCTCATAACTCTGTCATTAATGAACTACTACGACCAACAAATTTGAAAAAACCCTACACCAATTTCTTATTTCATCTTGAAAGATTTCCTCGCATCCAGACAGACCATTAAACTCATGGACACCATCAATATTTTATCTTTTTAATCTATTAAAATCTTTATATCATAAATAATAATAAAATGTATATTTTTAATGATTATAATAATGTTTAAATATGCACGGTTCAAGGAATAAATTTTTGTTTATATTTAAGAAAAGAGAGTGACAGAGGAAATATTATTTTCTATATAAAAAATAATTTTTTATTTTATTTCTATTTTTTATTATATTTTACTTTTCAGCTCACATATTAAAAAAATATAATTATTTTAAATTATAAAATAATTTATTTTTACATATTTAAATTTTATTAATAGTTTGAAAATAAGTAAATTAAAATTTTAAAAGATAATGAAGTAATAATATTTAAAAATATAAAAAAATTAAAATTTAATTAATATATATTAACAATATAAATATAAAAATATTTTATATTATTAATTAATTATAGGCATTAAATTATTGAACAACTCTTAGTTCTCCCTTATACATCATCTTGTTAAAAAAAAATGAGAATATGATAGTTTGAATAGTAAACGTAGTAAAAATAATTCAATGTTAGTTTTGGAAACAGCATTTGGCAGATAGAACCTGGACACTTTTTGAGGTCAGGTTCATTTCAAAAAGTGCCTACATTCATGTTGGTACACTTGGAACTGAAAATAATCTACACCGTTCCCAATCTCAACATTTGTATAAATATCCCAATACATTTATTTATTTTCATCTTGAGAATACTGTAAGTGTACATTCTTATAGAGAAAAGTGCTTTTTGAGTATGGCAAATCTTCCAGTAAGGTTTCAGAGAATGATTGATGCATTTGATGCTGATATGGCACTTTCACGTGTGAAGCGCTGCTGCAGCGAGAGCAGCGGAAGCGAGCACTCGGCAGTGAGTTCACCTGAATTGTCTGATCTCGTGTTGTCTTTCATGGAAGACAACGCGAGACCAGGAGAAGAAGAGAGTGAAAAAGAAAAAATTGTGCGTGACGAAAATTGTGATGAGAATGGTGATGAAGAAGATCTTGAAAAAATTGAAATGTTGAAGAATTTGTTTGATGGGAATGAAGATGTTGAAGAGGATGAAAAGGGTGATAAAGAAAAGATTAGAAGAGAGGTTGAGATTGCTATTGGAGGACTTATTGGAAGTGATAATTCATTTCCTGGATTCAAACGTTGGTTGATGACTCAATTAAGAGAAAAAGGTTTTGATGCTGGTGAGTAAAATGCTATTCTAATCCTTTTAGTAATTTAATTAACTTGTTAATTAACTCTTGGTTATTTAATTCTTGATTTGTTTCTCTTTATATAGGACTATGCAAAACCAAGTGGGAGAAAAAGGGAAAACTAACAGCCGGTGATTATGAGTACATTGATGTAAATCTGTCAGGAAAACGCTATATAATTGAAGTTTCTTTATCTTCTGAATTCGAAATAGTTCGTCCAACAAATCAATATTCTTCTTTACTAAAGATTTTTCCAATGATTTATGTTGGTAAAGTGGAAGAGTTCAAAAGAATTGTGAGATTAATGAGCTCTGCAATTAAAGGATCAATGAAAAAAATGGATCTACATGTAGCACCGTGGAGGAGAAATCTGTACATGCAAACCAGGTGGTTTAGTTCTTACAAAAGAACAACAAATGCAGTTGGAACTAGAAAAGAGTTGTCACATTTTTCTGCTGAGACTTTTTTTCCTAAAAGGTTTATGGGATTTGAAGCAATACATGATAAAGTACTATATAATTGTAGGGATGATTACGTGGGGGTTAATAATGGGTTTAGAGTTGGCCACTTGACTGTTGCGTTAAATTCGGATGATCTTGGATTGTGATTATAGTTGTGTTTGTTCTATTTTGTATAGAAGTGCTTTTTTGGGGTTGAAGTTTTGTTATGTGCTTTGCAAAGAGGAGGGCATGAATTGTGCTAGAGAATACATTTCTCTCATGTATAGTTATGATTTTTTTCTTCTTTCAATTTGGGTAGATACAACGAGCAATTGAGGTTCATATCGTTAGCAATTTTGTATGTTTTGTTTGAGATAAATATTGTGTAAACCATTATAGAGCGAGGACATGATTGGTTTCTTAAGGATCAATAGAGACTTCATAAATGAAACATCCAATGGTTACTCGACACTAATATTGCGATGTGTAGTAAGTCCACATTTGAATGATTTATTACATGTCTATATGACATACTACCTCTAATCCTTATTATACTCTTGTCCTTATTATACGAGAAAATTCACTTTTTAGATTTATGAAATGATTAGTGTATTTGATATATATATATATATATATATATATATATATATATATATATATATATATATATATATATATATATATATATATATATATATATATATATATATATATATATATATATATATATATATAAATATTGATCTTTGAATGAATCTAAAAAATGAGTTTTTTCTTATAATAAGGATCAGAGAGAATATATCTCTTTCAAATACTATCAGAACTAAAACTCTCTTATTGAATCGGTAAATTATAGTCTAATTGAAAAATATTAATATTATTAGATCACATATCATACTCTTGGGTTTGAACCTAAAACATAACAATTGTGTGTTTGAGTAATTGATAATTATTATCATTTCATTTAGGGTTAATAGCTATTTTGTCTCCGGTCATATATGCGAGTTTTGAAAAAATTTCCTGTAAAAAAAAGTTTAAAAAATCTTCCTGAAGATTCTTTTGTTTTATCCCCTCAAGAAATTTAAGCATAAAAAATGTTAGTGCGTGAGGCACTTTTAGTTAGGAGAGAAAGAGATAATAATATAAGAAATAAGGATTATATTATTCACTTAATGATTTGTACAAAATAAGGTTATATATTGTGACTATTTATATACAACCCTAATTGGGGTTGGGCTAACACAACTTGAAATATATTTAAATATTAAATCTAATCAAATCTAATATAATCTATTTTAATATTTCAACACACTCCCATAATTCAAGTTGTCGAACCTACGCTAGTCACAGTCGATCAGAACTATTCCTAATTTCTTTCTTAAATTCAGGAATTTGTCGATCTTCAATCTTTTGGTGAAAGTGTCGGCCAACTATGAATAACTTGAGCAATGTTTAACTTCAACTTCATCCCGATTTACCTTTTTCCTCAAGAAGTGAAACCTAGCTTCAATATGTTTACTTCTTCCATGCAGAATTAGATTATTCGCCAGATTTATGGCTGACTTGTTGTCGATTTGCAACACTAGAGGTTTCTTCACTTCGAGCTTGTTGTACCCCAAAATTTGCCCTCTTTATTTTTACCCTAATTGGCTTACGTTTCATCATCATATGCATACAAGACTAACCCCAGAGGCAAACAAGCTTCCACATATCAAAGGTTACGTGCAATCAAGCAAACGTTTTGTGGCATTACTACGAAACTTACTACCGTAGACAATGACAAATCTCCACACCCTATGAACGCGAACATAGTCAGAAGATACTACGCATAAAAGAGACCCGCTAGGTTGACATGCCTAGAAAAAAGTAAGGGCATCCCGGCGAACCAAAAGGGTTCAGGAAAAAATTAGGGATATATATACGTAAGTATTGTACACCTGGAAAGTCGAAAACCTGAAAAGACGGGGCAAAAAAGGGTATCCCGGTGGACTGAAAAGACGGCCCAGGCAAAAGCTAAGGATTAAAGCGTATAACTATGTCATGTTATCTCATCACTTGTCTATCAGTAAAAGACTTATCACTCTAATCAGCATTTACCGAGGACTCTAGGAAATAGGACAATATTCAAGTCATCCCCACAAGAGCAATCTCCACAGGATTATCCCCATAGAGTCATCTTCAACAAAGATATATTCCCCGACAAGTCTAAAATGCCTGAAGTAGGGCATCTTCCAGCTGATAACATAGTCATACTGACCAGCAGATCCCCCTAGAGGATAAAGGAGAATGACCTTCTCCCCGACAATATCGCCTACCTACGGAGTTTCAATCAGTATAGTTCATGGAAATCCTCTTCCCCAGTTGAGATTGAAAACTATAAAACTCCTGCAAATTTCTTTTCTTTAGCAAATTCAAATTCCCCAATGGAATTTGTTTCCTCAGCAGAGCATGTCGCTGATAACAGGGTTTATTTCTCCAACAGGGTTTATTTCCCCAACATATTACAAGTTTCCTCAGCTCGTGTCCATTATTCAGGCTACTACAGATCTCTGATAAAATTCTTCTCCCCAGTAAAGTTGCCACTATCTCGGTCGATTCTTATCGTATTGAGATGGTTCCAGTGGAATTTCTTCATAAATTGAGTTGGCTAAATATTTATTTCATCTTTCCAAATCAAACGGTATCTCGAAGGCCTTCGTTTTCGGTCCAAAACACGCGTAACGCATTTGAAAATCCTGAACCGAGAAATATTTTCATCTGAGACGAAACTTCAAAAAATCATAACTAAATCACCGATTATCTGATTGAGCCTATCTTTGGACACGATGTTTTTATCGACGTTGGTTACATTTTAGTTTCACATTTCAACTTTTAAATTCGCACCAAGGGACCTGCAAATTTGACCTTAAGGTGTCGGACTCTGATGAACTAAAAATTTGCAGATTTGCTTGTGTTTATTGGAGGCTCATTCGTTCAAAAAAAGGGCACAATATATATTCTTATTCCCTCCAATTTTCAGAAATAGGACATTCATAATTGATCAATTCTAAAAAACACTCAAAAACTTTCTCTCATCTTGCTCAAGGATCAAAGAGCAACTCTTTCTCATTTTCATCAAGAACACCAACAATTTTTCCAATAACTTTTTCAAGATCAAAAAGTCAATGAAGCTCAATTCTTCTCTGATCTCGAATCCGATTGTTGCGATCTATATACCTAAGATTCCTCTTCAATTATACGGTAAGCTTTTCTTGATTTAATCACTTTTAAAATAAGCGATTCTTAAGTAAGCACTTTTGTGGATCAATAAATTAAACTTTGATCTAATATGAATTGTGGAAGTGATTTCGATTATGAAAATGTGAATTGATCTTGAATCATGATGTGAAAATCCGGAATTAGATGATTAAATAAGTGTTTATTTAATTAATTGATTTTCATGAAAGTGCTTATTTGAGAAAACAAAAATATTGAAGTTGTTTCAAGCTTAATTGATGATTCTTGATTGATTATGTATGATAATTTGGATCTCTAATTGTGCAAAGATCATGAGTTGAATTTCAGAGATTATGTGTTTAAAAAAATGCTTTAGCCATTGTGCCTTGATCTTACCACGTGATTTAATTGATTTTTGGTTGCGTACAAATTTCCTTGCACTATGGTCATAGCATAATTGATGTGAATTTGGTTTTTGATCCGATGAAAATTGCGTCGAAACTCATGAAATCGGATCATGAATTCACACGTCGATCATGCTAAGATCGGAGAATTTTTCGTATAATTTTTGTTGTTTTGGTTTCCGTTTTGTGCCATGGATATTCTATGATTTTCAAACTTTCTAATGATTCGAACCATGCGCAAAACGGACACTTGAAGCAAAAGTCATGTTCCTTCAAAGTTTCAATTGAATAATGCTGCAGTTGAGTCGACGCATAGCCTTTTTTAGTCAACGCAAACATTTTGGACCACACACGGGAAGTGTTGCACCTATCCTCCGGTCGATGCAAACTGAGAAAAATCTTGGGTATGAGTCGACGCATAGCCTGTTACAGTCAATGCAAACGTTTTGGCCACCTGCGGGAAGTGTTGTGTCGACCCAGCGGTCGATACAAACTGAGAAAATTCCTGGGCAAGGGTCGATGCATAGCCTGTTGTGGTCGACCCATCTTTTCCAAATTGTTGCTTTTTGCTTATTTGGCTTTGCATTGGCTATTGTTTGCTCCAAATATCTTCCTACTCTTTTATACTTTAATTTTCCTTGTTATTTTTAACATGTGTGTTGGTTGTGTAAGGTACATTTGGATAGTTTCTGATCATGTAATTATTACTCGATTATTTGATCGGAAAACTCGTTTGGACTATCGATTTGTGGTCCGATTTTTACCTTCGACGCACATGCCCTTGTCTTATGCCCCGTATCTTGTATATTTGTATTTTGTATAGGTGCTCGGGAATACGGATGCGGCGATACACATTTCGTTCTTGGTTTGCCTAATTGCATTTTGTGTAGGCACTTTGTGATACGGGTGTGTCTGCTACATATTCTGATCTTGCTTATTGATGCTTCGACGCATATTCTCACTAAATTTCTTTGTTTATGCTAGTTTGCTCGATGTTTTCCGGGTTTCTTATTTTTTGTTTGCTTGATACGGATTGTTATCCGTTTGGTATTTCTCTCATACCTTTTTACCACATTCGTTATCAAATTCTTTATTGCTTTCTAGAGATCATATAAGTAGGAAGCAGGAAATAAAGAGCATGCGCTCGAAGTATCTGTTTAAAATCTTGTAGCAGGCACCACTTTCTGTATGCTAATTGTGATTGTTTAAAATCCTACCTTTGAAGTAGGTATTCCGCACATGTGTTTACATTTGTGCCCACATTATATTACAAATAATAAGTCCTCAAAAGTAGGCAAGCGGGGATGGTCTGCAACCGACCCCCGCACATTCTAGTATGTGTTATCCTTAGCTCACGTTATACATCGATGCTTCTGAGTTGTGAAGATCATGGCTATTGATTCGTCAAGTGGAAAAAGGATCTGTAATCAATCCCGCACATTTTGTCTTGAGCTTGCGTTGGTCGACGTTGATGCTCTGTGATATTTTCTTATATCCTCTCCCCACTTGTTTGCCTCGATTGATATGACCCCTTGGCTAAAGCATCC